TCAGTGCGTGGATAGCAATTAAGACTTGCTGATCTAGGGAGACCTGTTGCAAGTGCACATAGGTCTTAACGTTGGCCTCCCAATTATCAAAGTTTTATTCCCTCCTCCCGCTGTAGGAATCGGGGAACTTGACTTTGACAGGCTCCCGGCGAGGAGGACGTGCTTCCTCCTCCTTGGGAGTTGCCGCCTTGACGCCTTCAATGGCGCCGGCGCAGAACCGCTCAGTCTTGTCGAGGCGGTAACCCACCTCGACTCCAACGGCGCCTACCAACTCACGAGCAAAGTCTCGAAAGCCCAATCGTATCGAGCGCACAGCTATGCCCTGACTTCTGCTAAAATCATATTGGTCTGCCTGAACCCGTGCCAGGCATGCGACGCTCCGCGCTATGACTCGCATCTGATTCGGGAGATCGGGCTGGGCGACTAATTGTGTCTCTATGTTCTTCACCTCTTCCAAGGCCTCTGCTGCCTCCGCTGCCTTGTCAATTCTCCTCTTCTTCTCCCTCATCACCGCTAATTTCCATTCCATCTTCTTCTCGTCTTCCAACGCTTGACGTTTCAGAGGGTCTTTCTCTGCCTCCCAAGCCTTCATGGCGGCTTCTTGCTGATCCTGCGGGATGTACATACTAACCTCTTCCTCTTCTCCCACAGTCAGGTTGGCAACCCATTCAGAGATCCTCTTCTCCAGGTTTCCACCGGTATTATTACTGGGCTGCCCACTACTCCTTTGCAGTGGCGGTCCTTCCTCTTCTTCATCCACCTCCTTCAGCTTCTCTTCTTCTTCCTTTTTCAACCTCACTTTCTCTATGGCCATTTCTTCTTCCATCTTCTTCAGTTTGGCCGCCTGCTCCTCCTTCAAGGCCCTCTTCTTGGCCTCCTTCTTCTCCTTCTTCTCCTGTAGAAGGGCGGCCATCTTCTCCTCCTCCTCCTTCGTGTAGGGGGTGGTGGACGTCCCACCGCGAGTGGGCCCTACTCTACACGTGAAAGTGGGCCAAAAGCCCAGAGGAAAGAGGAGACGCCAGAGGGT